CAGACTAGCTTGGTAAGTCATCTTAGATGAACTTGCCATCCAACCCACTGTCAAAAGTCAACTTCACCCACTGTCCATACTGGAAGAGAAGAGGAAAGGTCCTCTGGACGAGCGACCTGTGCGAGAGCAGGGGGAAAAATCGTCTTCAAAAAGGTGCCAAGGTTGGAGATCCGAGGGGTTGGAGTGGCTATCAATCCACTCGAACCATACTCGAATCCAAAAATGCTGTAGCAAATAATGCGCAAGTTGAACCATGGTGTGGACATCTGCCTGAGAGCTCCCGCCCCGAAACAGGGAAGCCACTACAGCTTCGTTGTCCACAAACCACAATACATCCAAGTCGGCCAGAGCGTGTCCATGGAACCAGGGAACCAGCGGTCCACACAAGGTTTCACCCGGGTAGATCTGCTGGCTGCGGGGTTGCCATGAGCTGATGACCCGCTGGGGGACTGTGCAGGTCACCCCACAGGGGGTGTCAGTTCGCCACATGATCACCCAGCCCAGGCGGAGTGTATCATTCTCAAACGACGCATCAGAGTAGATGATCAGGGGTGTTGCTGGTTTAGACCGGACAGAGATGACCCGCGGTTCGGGGCAAGCCACAATGGCCGCGAGAAGCCGCAGTGTCAGGCAATCATCCCTGGAAAGATCTGGAGATGCCGCTTTCTGTTTGGCTGCGAGCAACGGTCCCCCAATACGGCCTGCATAGCCAGCGCACATGGAAAACATCCAGTTGAGGTCGCCCCGGAGCTTGCCGGCATCATCAGGGGAGAGACTGGATGTGTCCAGGGCAGCACGCAGTTTCTTTAAAATCTTGGTGGATGTGGAAAACTTGGGTTGAAATCGGATCAAACCCTCATGAACGAAAGTCTCCAACATGGACGGATGTTTCGAGGTAATGTCGCTTGTGCCCTGGGGCGAACGACTTCGCAGGCTGTGGCGGTGCGCCTAACAACCTGAATGTCAGTTGCAAACCAACCTGGGACACATCTGATCCTGGATGAGATCGACGGCCAACTCGTCATCGAAGTACGCGGCCGCGAACCCAAGGAGGCATCGCCTCACAATGGCTACACCCAGTTGCGGCAACCTGTTAAAATTCCCAACTGCACTCTCCAAGCCATAAACAAGTCCCTACATAGTGGTGAACCTCCAACCAACATGTGGGACGAAAATGGCCACATCTGAGTAGCAGAGGTGTTCGTCACATACAGGCAACCCCCTGTATGCCTCTGGGAGATCATCCGTGCTCAGACGGAGATCCAACCAGCTGGGAGGTGGTGTGCGGTCAAGAGCAAATGCTGAGTCCACCATGCGAGCCACCGCAGCCACAAAGTCAACATTGACCGTGGAGATGGTCTCAGGCATCGTCATATGGTGGTTGTGTCCACTCTTTCTCGCATTGTCTATCGCCCGTTGTGTACCATCCGGCTGGATGATCAGGAAACGCTCAACCGCCCTCCATCCACCCTGTCCAAACAAGTCATCCATCTCCTTCAGACTCCGCAACGGGCTGCAAAAGCCCTTAGCAATCTCCTCCAAAGTAATCTGATGGATAGCATCACTGTGCAGAGGAGGCCTGCTATGCACTAGCCGGCGAACGTCTGCGTCTGCCGAGGGACCCAGCCACTCGGGTAGAGCCGCTTTGCCTTCTTGTCTGACGGGTCTGAACACACCCGAATGGGCCAAAACTCCTATGATGGGAAAACCGTGCACCAAGTGCTGAGCAAGCGAAAGGTCAGGCCAACGAATCAAAACGGCAAGCACAGCAGTCAATGCTGGTTTCCTTCCGTGAGCAACCTGTTTCGCCGCTAGGCAGCGAAAGGGCACTAAGGCCTCTTCCAGGGGTGTGAGGGCCCTCGACACGGTGTTCAACACATGCCGGAGTTTGGCCGCATACGTGGGAGGCACTTCTGCCATACATACAGTGCTTCAACAACAAAACCAATATCCGGTTCTGGCCAGTCCCGCGGGTAGAAAGGGGTAGGCAGTTCGGCCGATGCTGCGACATGAGCCTCCTTCCCAAGCCCGGGGACCAACAGGTGGTCGAGGCCTCTAGCAGAAGAAACTCGCATAGCGCTGGCCCGACAGACCTGCATAAATCTCGGTTCGCTGCCGCCCCCAAATAGGAACTGGCCCCAATTCCTGCCAAGGCTCCTGGCGCAAGTGCCTCCATGCAGGGTAGGCCTGCAGGAGCGACAGATCATACGAGCCGAGACGCGGACGGATCGCAGCCCAGACCGGCGACTCTATGCCAATGTATGGAAAAACAACTGTCAATCTCGAGATCACCTCCTCCACCTGGAGCAACCCAGGCATGTGCTGCAGGCGGCCCGGTGCCCAGACCGAGTGCTGCAGGCGTGCCTGAAGGGCCAGCTCATCATGGTCATATAGCGGAGAGTGGATCTTGGTAGACAAGATCCCAGGCAGCATGGTTAACAGGGCAATAATGCACAGTATGTGGAAACCATTGCCAAACAAGGAAGCCTTGACTTGAGTACGCTTGGATGGGTGCCCTCGCACTGGTACAACCAAGTCCGGAGGGATCCCCATAAGTTGGCACCGCTCAGACGGATGGAGGGTACGCCACTCCGACCCAGACCAGAGCAAGGAGGCTTCCTCATATTCTGCTGGGGGGAACCTGCGATGATCGTGGTGAAACCGATCAACCGCGGCTGGGGTGGCATCCCTCACGCGATCAGCCGGGTACCAAAACTCTCTAGTAAAAGTGTGCATAGCTCCGGCACCCTGGTCACGGAGCACTTGAACCGGGTCTAACAGTGGGGGGTAAGGACCACTCCACCACACCTGTGCAGGCACCGGCTTTTTTCCATCAAAGCGAGGCGTATGTAGGGACAGTAGTCTCGTTTGAGGCCCACGTCCACGAAGCAGGCGGAGGCGTCTGTGCACTCACGCCCCGAGTGGCCGAGCAGAGCCAGAAAAGGCGCCGCCGGCGCACCCAAACACAGCTGGCCGCATCCATGCAAATAGGCTGGCAGCCCAGCCAGGTACTGTATTGGTCCCGGACATGTGCAGGCATGCTTGCGACATTCTCCAAAAAGGCCACGATCTTCATGCCCGCGGCTTCAGGGAGAGCCCGAAATTCATGAATAATGCGCTGCAATTCCAGTGGTTGTTGAGAGCGGAGGTCATCCAAGCCTGTACGCTTGGTGTTCAAGGATGAGTTGCCCTGGCATGGGGAGCCACCCCCAATCAGGATACCTCGCGGGTGACGGCGCTGAAGAAGGCCCCGAAAGTGGTCGACCCGCACATCCTCCACCCGATCCATGTGCACCAGGTTAGGCATAGCCTGCGCTGCACAGCGCACTGCATCCTCATCATTGTCAGCACTGAGGGCGTAGAAATGAACACCCATGGCGAGGAGGGCTACACAGAGACCCCCCACACCAGCCCAGAAATCAACAACCAACCACGTGCCCCGAAAAGGTTTCGCCCATGGGTACTGCGGTAGGTCGCTGCGCCCCCGCCAGCTCACAGGCTTGGCCGCTGTGAGGCGTGCGGTGACATCCATAGGGCCCATGAGAGGAGCGGGGTCTCCAGCCAGAACCACACGCCTGCCCTGACCGGGATGCGGTGCCTCCATGAGGGAAAGCTGCGAAGAATGCCACGGCTCCTCTTCCCCCCGGGGCTCCCAGGCCCCTAGGGGGAGCTGTCCCTATTCAGAGTGCTGCAGGCGAGTATGGCCTGCAGAGCATGGCTTCCCCGTAGAGAGCTTCACGTCGCACTTGTGGATGTTGGGGCACTTATCTTGCTGGCAGCCCCTGCCATCATTCCATGGCTTGCAAAACCGCTGGCCGCCCTTGATCTGGCTCACTGTAGGCCACCTGTCTGACTTGATCTGGCGCCTGGCCGGAGGAGCTGTCTCCACAGAGGGCGCCATCTCCGCAGCTTTGCGCTTGGCCGGGGCCGCCTCAGGCATAGAAGGCTGCAAAGCTGGGGCAGAGCAAACTACCATGGCCATACTCCATCGTTGATTGCAAAGCATGGTCCGCGTAGGCCAGTGCTTGGTCCAAGGGCATGAAAGCGCGGTCCTGCTTGTCGAAGTCCTGCTGCTTGAAGAGGCCAGCCCAGCCCCAGGCATAGGCTAAGGTCCGCAGCGCCCAGTAGTGGTCGACCACTGTCTGGACTACCCGTCCTTCCTCCGTCTGAAACTCCAGCTGCACGCCAGAACCCAGTCTGACCGCTTCCTGGAGGCGAGGGGTTGAGTGATGCAGGATAGACCTTCTGCTCGGCGGCTGCAGTCTTGATGGCTGCAAGCCCCGCG